CGGAGAACCGGTTGTTAACTTTCTAAGCAGTTCGGAGAACCGGTTGTTTGAAGAAATCGTATTTTTTTTCCAGTTTACAGGGCTAATCCTGTAAGGAAGGCAGGAAGAAAACATTCTGGTGTTATTTCTAGCCTAACCTTTATTGCCCTACTAACAGAAACTGCCTCTCAGGTTAACCCTTATTACATTGTAACAGCTAAGGTGAAGTGCCCATCGACGTGAGTGACGTTGAGTTGGCCACGCCTACCCAGTCACATGACCACCAAGCCCCGCCTATCCAGCTGGTCTTTAGGGCAGAGAACTGGTTGTTAAATTATTTGAATCCCACCACTGGTCCTACACCATATAAATGTATGATTTATTAATTATGAAGAGTCTTGGTATGGAAGATATCCAGCAAGGTAAGGGTATCCATTTAAAGCCACAATGTATGACATAAAGTAGAAGGGTTTCCTTATTTTCTGAATTACATTTTTGGAGGTTAAAAAAAATCCAACTCTAAAAATATTTAGCCAGTAAATTAAGAAAATGAGATTCTGGTTGCCATATTGAAAATTTTAAGCAAGCCAGAAATTTTTTCAGCATTAGTTGTCTACACAATGCTGTCTAGCAGCATTTTTTGGTTTTTTAAAAATGTTTGACATTTGTTTGTTAAAGCACCAAATAACTGGCATAATTTCTCTTTTACATTTAAAACTATTTTTGGTTAAACTTGAAAACTCATAAAACTACACAGTAAAACATTCACCAAGTACATAAAGCAGAAGCCAAGCTTTATTAGAAATTTCCACATTATATTATTTATAGCATAAAAACATAAGGATGATATTATCATGAAAGCAGCCATTTAAAAAAATGAATAGAAACCACTTTTTTAAATTTTTTGCCATGCTGTGGATTATATTGACCTCTATTAAAATGCCAGTTTTGTAAGCAGAATTGAATTCCTATTTTAAAATCAATTTAATTTTCAGAAGTTTCAAAGCAGTTGCCACTGTGAATTCAGAAGGAATTTTTAAAAAGTTTTCTTTTTTCCTTTCCCCTAGCCCAGTAAACAAAATTAAAGTCTATGAGTAGCTTGTATAATGTTACCTGGGAACTACATTCTAACTCATATTTTGTTTAAAAGGAACAAAAATGAGCAAAAAGTCTTCCTTTAAAACTTGTTATAAAATCAAATGAATATGGTAAATCACATTTAATTTGTATGGATATGATGTACCATCAGTGGATACTTTTAAACTTTACTTTAACCTCTTTTATATGAGATTATAAATTATATTAGTGTTATTCTGTCTTACTCTTGAATTTGTAAACTCAAAGGTACAGACCATTTTTGCTTGAAGAAGCTACATTTATTCCATTTAGTTGTACTTCAGCCAGACACAAATTAGATTTTACATGTGGAATTTAATTTCAGTCATAAAAAATCTGCCCTACTGCTGTGCTTGTGAGATGTGGTTACTGCATATATCCTGCTGATGCTTCAGAATTACGGTTAGAGGGGATATGCATCAGAATGTATATTTGTTGTGCTATTGAATTTGTGCAGAATAGTATGATTGCTTTTTTAAAATGCTCATAGAACAGCATTCTATATCAGGAATCTCCAGTCTCTGGTCCACACCATGCCAGAAACAGGGCCATGCAAACAAGCGAAGCCCCATCCAGGGAGTGCAGGCAGCACACAAAACTACGCCCCTTCCACTCCACCAAAAAAACTCTTTCCACAGCAACAGCCCCTGGTGCACAAAATAGTGAAGTCTTTAAACCCCCTACTTTATTTGAAGATTTTGGGGGGAATTTATTTATATTGTTGATGACTTATTAGTTTGGTTAATCTCTCCATCCGGTTTTAGAGTCAAGCTTTCATTGGGTTAGATTGGCATTTGGCTGTTGCTTATATACTGAATGTAAAATAATATGTATCTTTCTTTTTCTTTCAAAGCTTGAAGAAAAATTCCACAGAGAGACCTACGTATCATGAGCTAATGGTGAGTTTATCTTGTTGAATTCAAGTGTAATATAGATTTCACTCATGCTTTTGAATAAAATGAGGAAGCAAGAAGAATAGTGCCATCCCAATATTTCTGTTCTCTGCCTTTAGCCTTTACATAGCCAAAAGAAATGCCAGTTATAGAGTTGGTGCCTGTAGGACCATGTCTTAGCTTGCACCTAGTTCTCCCTTGTTGTCTGCCCACCTACCGTATTTTTCAGAGTATAAGACGCACCTTTTTTCCTCTAAAAAGAGGCTGAAAATCTGGGTGCGTTTATACACCGAATACAGCATTTTTTGCCTCCTGAAGCCCCGCCCCTTCACCCAAATTGCTGTGCCTCTTCAAAACGTGGGTGTGTCTTATACTCTGGTGTGTCTTATACTCTGAAAAATACGGTATATCTAAATGCAGAACACCCAGGCACAATTTTGAAATCACTGAATGAGGAAGGAATGGAGGGGAGGGGAGGAAGGAAGGAAGGAAGGATTCCCCTTCAAAGGCTAGAGTTGCTTGATATGATGTTTTATGAATTAGCATCAGGGATGGATAGCAATAGCAGTTAGACTTATATACCGCTTCATAGGGCTTTCAGCCCTCTCTAAGCAGTTTACAGAGTCAGCATATTGCCCCCACATCTGGGTCCTCATTTTACCCACCTTGGAAGGATGGAAGGCTGAGTCAACCCTGAGCCGGTGAGATTTGAACCGCCGAGCTGCAGAACTAGCAGTCAGCTGAAGTGGTTGCAGTACTGCACCCTAACCACTGCGCCACCTCGGCTCATTCATGGATGAATCAGTAGGTTTCTAATCCAAGTGATTTTTGCTTCTGCTTTTCTATAAATTGAAATACACAAACATACATATGCGCTCTCTCTCACTCACTCACTCACTCATATGGAAAGTATGAGCTCTGCTTTTTATTATTGCCACAATTTTCAATATGCATAGTGAGGTATCTAAATTTTTGGGAAAGGTAGCTTATCAAGACTTTCCAGTGACTTCATTATGGAGTCATATATCAGTATTCTTTTAAAAAAAGGGATATGAGGTTGTGTTTTTAAAAACAAACAAACAAACACAGACTTTCTCTATTTTGCCAGTGAACCTATTTGAGTTATTGCTGTATTAACACCCGTGTTTCATTGGAAAACACAAAAAATATCTACAAGGGCAGCAATAACAGTGGTCAGCAACCTATAATGAAATGAAACATAGGAGGCCAAGTGAACAATATTGCCTGAACCAGCAGAAGTCAGGAAATGTACTTTTGATGCGGAGTAGGAAACAGTCGATGGAGGTTGAAATCTCAGTAGGCTAAGGGCAGTAGAAAAGCAATTGTGAGTTTGTTCCCTCAAGAAACAATATCCCATACTTGCATTGTGACAACCAATGCCGACTAAGCACTCAGTCACTATGTTGAAAAGTTTTTTAAAAAGTCTGTGGGAAGCCTGCAAACTGATCATGAGGGGAATAAGGTCCTATTATAGCACACCAGTTTGGTGTGATGCTTACAGCTCCAGTCTAGAAAGTGAAAGACTGAGTTCAAATCCTGCCTTAGCCATGAAAGCCAGCTGGGTGACTTTGGGCCAGTCACTTTCTCTCAGCCCAACATAGGAGGAGGAAAGTGTGTTGTATGTTCTCTGCTTTGAGTTATTTGTAAAAATAATAAAGGCAAGATACAAACAAACAAATTAAAAATATGGGTTTTTTATTGGGACTTTTTGTCACCTTCCACTCATTGTTTTCTTTTCTTTTTTAGCAACACCCCTTCTTTACCTTTCATGAATCCAAAGAAACAGATGTGGCTTCTTTTGTCAAACTCATCCTGGAAAACTGAAAAAAAGGACTTGTACATTATTTTATTCTTTGATGGACTGGTGGGATTAAGGAGGAAGGGGTCATGGTAGGACAGCCTTCATTACAGGAAAGCCAGAGGAGAATTTAACTGGTGGCCATTTTCCTTTTATTTTTTTTTGTAAAATCCTAATCTCCTTCCCTTGAAGGCTTTTTTAAAGGGTTCTTTGGTATTCATAGTGATATAGAATGAACTGATTAGTGAAATGAATTTTAATAAGATTGTCAACCATAAACAAAACACAAAACAACGAGTGATTTAAATGATGATATTTTAGGGCTCTCTAACCAACCTCTCAACTAGCCATACTTAATTTTCTGTCAAATCAGATTTCTTTTGTTTATGGTAATAGGTGCTACGGTAGTAATGAAGTTCGATATAGAGTTATATTTTGTCCTTACTATTATTTTAATATTTATGTTAAGCGCTTGATTTTTAATAGAATTCTTGTTTTTGTTTTTATGTGAGACAATGGACAATAATGACAGCTAAAACACTGAAGTTACAGAAAAGAGTATTTATAGTGCTTTGTAGGAAAAGGAAGAGGCGAAGGCATGGCCCATTTATGACATGGATGACTAATTTACATTGAAATAAGAGTTTGGTTTGTATGTTACTCCAGCAATGTATGAGGAAGTCTACATCATTCCTTAGGATATGTCTGAAGATTGTTTTGGCAAGAACATCAGCAGGATGCAAAAAGAAAAAAGAAAGAAAATGATTTGTTGGATGAGATTATTATTCCAGTGGTTTGGTTTAAAACTGCAGTTTCTATAAACAATTATATCTTTAAGATTAAGATTCTATCTCAGTATCAGGCTCTGTGGGATTAACAGTGGCAGTGATGTATTTAAAAGCTAGTGGAAAATCAAAAGCACCTTTAGACATTTGATTGTTGCTTAAATAATGACGTTTCTCTAACTCACGTGTGTTAAACTCGATAGTGTCACGTGACGTATCGCAACATATCACAGTGTTTTTTGCCTTTACAGAACCAGAGTGGCCCTGATGCATCAAGTCCGCAGGCTGCCAGTTTGACACCCCTGCTCCAAATCATGGCCAATCAAGGAAGAACTCTGTCCCTATTGGCTTAGGAGAGAGTTTTGTGCCTTTGAATGAAAAAAAAAGGCTTCACAAAGGAAAGTGGGACTGAGGAGGCATAGAGATATGGGTTTCACAAAGGGGGGTGGTAATCAAGAAATGAGAAAAGTTTTACTAGTTTTACATTCTTCTGAGAACACTGAGCATGCTCTGGACTCTCAGGTGTCCTATAGTGGTCTTCTTTTTCACCTACATGAATCTATTCTCCGCAGCCAGCTCACCATGACCAATCTGCCACGGCCAACTCATCATGGACAACTCGCTACAGGACAACTTGCCACAGAACAGCTTGCTTCGGGACAAGAGTTACACTAATATCAAAGAAATGGTGGAATAGAATCATTAAAGAAAAGATGCAAAAGGAAGGACAGGATGAAATGTGAATGGCAAAAATTAAAATAATGTTTATTTATTTTAAATAATTAAATAGAATTGTTAAATTGTCCCGCAACAAATTGTCTTGCAGCGAGTTGGCCTTGGCCAGTTTGCCCGCTGCAGGTTGGCCGCAATGAGTTTACTGCAGCAAGTTGGCTGAAGAGATTCTCATCTCTGGCACACATTAGACTAGGCTCTATCTGAAAACAAAAGATAGAACAGGATAGAATTACTTAATAAGCATTATTCCCCTCATCTAACATGAGCAACAGAAAACACACACACACACACACACACACACACACTGGTAGGGCTAAAACTACTTGATTTTTCATTCAGAAGTGGTTGTCATAGATTTTGTTTTAACTTATGGAAATGGCAATTTGTGTGTCTCTCTTACTTCACAATACACTTTTTTATTGGGGTTGTTTCAGAAATAAGACCAGATCTTATCTGATGAAAATAACTGCAGTTCTCCCTTGATTTCCAAGGCAACTTTTTGCTCAAGAAGCATTTATGTTTCCTTCTGGCAATATTAATTAATTCTTCCCAGTGGTTCAAGCACTCCAAATGGAGGTTGTAGAATGTAGAAATGCATCCAGGGTCTTCAAGATGTGCTTGCCAATATGGAGTCAACACCCTACACATCTGGAGCAGTGGTGGGATTCCAAACCTTTTCCTACCAGTTCTATGAAACAGCGCTTTGCGTGCGCATGCAGCACTTAAAGACTGCCCTTGTTGTCAGTGCTGGTGGGCTGAGCTGTTTTTTAGCTCAGCTGAGGCGTGGCAATCCACTCTGCCACACGAATCAGCTGAGCTAAAAAACAAGGGAATATAGGACAGGAAACAGCGGGGGCGGCACCAATCAGAAGTATTTGCCGGTTCTGCTAACTACTCCAAATTTCCACTACTGGTTCACCTGCACTGGTCCACACTGGCTGAATACCACCTCTGATCGGGAGAGCATCAAATTGGGGAAGACCAGTATTAGTATTGATAAGGTGGCTTTTTGTCAAAGACATTTTTGATCCTGCTTTCCAGCAGTCCATATTTTACAGTATAGCTGGTCTTTTTTGCAGAAGTCCACAGGAAGTGATTTAGAAGATGTTTAATTGCAGATAAAACACTAAAATTCTTCCCTTTCATTGCATTTGTTCAAAAGCAAAGAATGGTTTGTAACTATTTTACATGTCTGGTTACCTTCTCTGCCCCCTCTAGCTGATTCTTAGCTGCTGTGATTGATTGTCTTCAGCTGCATCTAAAGCTCAGCCAGTTAGGTTTTAGAACTAGTTCCAGCATCTAGTCTCACTTTGGAAAAACATGTCATTTAAAACCCACTTTTGGATTTTCCTATAAACAGATCTGACGCTTGTTGTAGAGATTGGTTTGTTGCCCTTTTTTCCCTTCTTGGAATAGTGAAGCTCTGTTGGATATTACATCCTCTTGACCTCAGAACACCTTTATCGGAGTGCTGTGGTAACAGACGGGCTGGATTCAGGAGATCAAATTGGGCTTAATAGACAATATTAATATTCCCATTGGTTTCCAATTGCTGGAGCATGCCAGTGATGTCTGCAGTTAAGTCTGACTGGAAAGAATAACACTACATGCCTCGTGCTTTGTTTTAGGAATTAGAATGTGGTGTTTGTGAGCTCTTTTGTCAGGTTTGTCCAAATATAATTCATCTCTTGGCAGGTACACGAACCCTACCACAGTTATAGAATAAAACGTGCCTAGCATCTGTATTTTCTATTCCAGATTTAAAGCTTTGCTTGTCTTTGTTATTTAAAAGTTCTCATATCATGTTAGTGAGCATAATTCCCCTAAAATGTTCACAGCCCTTGAAATGCAGTCCGAATTTACGTCCATTTTCTAAAGGAAGATAGGTAAAAATGGAAAATAAATAACTGATCGGATTGTCTCCTGAAAACAGGCTTAAAAGAAGACATCGTCCATTTACATGTATTTATGTGTATTCTCTCTGTCTCTCACTCTCTCTCATTCTCTCACAGAGACTTGCACATGTACCCCAGAGTGTTCTGAAATACACCATCCTGCTTGAAGTTGTTACAGAGCCTTCATTTTTATAGGCTGTCATAAATAAATAAACTGACACAGATAACCATTATGTGTTTTATACAGAAAAATGAACCCTTCATCTGATGTTTTCCAATATTTGAAAATGTTTCTGGGTTCAGCAAGGCTCTACTAGTAAAATTCTTCTATTCTAGTAAATGTTAACAGAGCAGGAATCATGGCTGCTGTGACTGATCTTTTAATTTCAGCTTTCTCAGCTGTCTTAGGTTTGTTTAAGTTACTTCAGAATAATTATTTTTAATGGCATGTGGATTTGGGGCACGGCTATATGCAAACTGGTGATCTCCTGGGTTGTTGGTTTCCCCCCGATCTGTAAAACAGTGCTGAAAAAAATTGCCATAATGGCATACATTCTAGAAACGAATATAGATGACTGTTGAAACCATTTCTAAGCAAGAAGTAGCTGGCAGAGACTGATGCCTGAAGCAAAATCCTATTAACAACACCAGAACATTTTGCCATGCATGATAGCAAGCTAATAAACACTGCACTGAAGTTGTGTCTCCACCTTTGGATTGTGTATCCTAAAAGCTTATGAAGCAGGAATGCCCATTTTCAGAATTGCTTGGAGCAGTGAAGGAAAAGGGGTGGCTTTGAGGCACGCACAGACGCGCAAGCGCTCATATACACACTGTGTTGCCCTCTTATTTGAACTGAAAGGTCATTGTTGAATTCTTCTCTACAGGGTATTGCTTTTGTCATCTCATGCCACACTCTACTTGATGATTTTCTACTTTCAGATGTAGACCATGATAACTCATTCCTCCATTAAAAACAAAAGAATCTTAAGGTTTCTTTTTCCAGCCTCTTAATTACTTTGGGGTTCCTTTTATTCTGAATGCTCTGAATTCTTCCACTGAGGTTCCTCATCACACACAACTTGTTCGGGAAAGCAACCAATCAATTAAAGACAGCCTGGTGTGCATTTATTTAGGGAATGAAGGAAATATTTTCATGGATTCTGATTTTCATACAGTCTCCAGACCAACCTCAGAAAAGGCCTTAGAAATTATGTTTGTGTGATTCTGCCCCCCCCCCTTTATAATGTGGAAAGTGTTTTGTTTTCTTTTGTTTTAAAGGAACATTTCAGCTAAAAAAATCTATCTTTCCACTGAAGGAAATAATGCAGGGATGAGTTGCCGCATTTTATGTTTTAAATGTTGACTAATATTTATTGGTCAATGTTTTTTTTTCAAAATAGGAAAATTAAATGCCCTTTCTTATGTCACAAAACTATTTTTCTATGTCATAAAACACAGCCTAATTAACTCCAGACCCTGGAGTTAATAGTCTAAAATAAAATAAGAGATAGTATAAATCCATTGAACTATGAAGCTTCATATAATTATGAGTAACTTAATCCATGATTGCATGGGACTAAAATGGATTTTTAAAATTCCATTTATGGTAATTTCTTCCTGAAATTAAAATTTTTATTCTTGAATAATGTAATATTTTCTGAACCATAACATTTGCTGTTTGGCGATGTACAAATATACCTAGTCATCATTAAGTGTGTGTAAGTTCTGGCCCACGTATTCTGCACCTCACTTTGAGTCAGTTGATGATGATGTTCAACCATAACGTTAAGGCCTTTTAATGTTAGTTACAGACAACAGCAAATTTTAGCTAGTCTGCTATTCACTCTGTGGGATTTGGAGCCTGTAAATTTGCCATCGCTGCATTTTCCCAAAAAGTGGTTTCATAATGGACTTGACAGATTAGCTGAAATAGTGTATCTGATATAATTGACTGATCTACTGGTTGCTCTTATTTTTCTTTCCTAATTGTGCGTGAATTGAAAATACACCCTACGTAAATTTGTACAATTGATATTCAGAGCGTCTAAACTCTGATCCACACCACGGCATCTGGTGTGTGAGATACTCCAAATTGAACAGGGAATGGAAAGTTTTATACAGAACTCCCAAGCATAGTTTTTAGTTACCCCTATGCAGTATGTAATGGAGTGAAAGCCCACAATCTCTTTCTTGTGGCTTTCTGCTGTATGTAATAAGGTATTCCTGAGTTACAAGCCCACAGCATTTTGAAAAGAAAAAGGCAATCTCCTCTCATTAGCATAGCATTAGCAGATAGTGGCATCATCATATATGTTATGCATATGATATATTACATGATATCAGTATTCCAGTGTTTGAGGGGCTGCCACAAAGAGGAGGAGGTCAAATTATTTTCCAAAGTGCCAGAAGACAGGACAAGAAACAATGAATGGAAACTAATCAAGAAGAGAAGCAACCTGGAATTAAGGAGAAACTTCCTAACAGTGAGAACAATAACCAGTGGAACAGCTTGGCTTTAGACATTGTGGGTGCTTCATCACTGGGGTTTTTTTAAGAAGAGACTGGTCGGAAATGTATAGAGCAGGGGTGTCAAACTTGATTTCACTGAGAGCCGAATCAGGGTTGTGTTTGACTTTGGGGATCAGGTGGGCGTGGCCAGCTCAACATCACTTGTGTGCAGCCCCTCCCGAGCTCCATTTTCGGTGGCAGAGGCACTGTGGACCGGTCTCTTCTTATTTCCAGGGCAGCCCCACGGGTCAGATCTAAGCACCCTGAGGGCCGAATCTGACCCACGGGCCTTGAGTTTGACCCCCCTGATATAGAGTCTCCTGTTTGAGTAGGGTTGGACTAGAAGACCTCCAAGGTCCTTTCAGCTCTGTTCTGATTGATTGATACAATAATTTTTCCATAAACAATCGGCTTTGTTTTAAGGATGTGTGAGAAGGGCAACAAAACCATCATCACCATCCTTGAATATAGGTGGGATTTTTTTTTGCTAATAAATATACAGTGGCAATATTAGTTACAGAAAGACAGGATTTGATGTATCCTGGTTTAATCATAAAGTA